AATAAGGTTTAGATGGCCATCATTTATGAGCCACGATCAAACGGTACGGTGTTGGCAACACTAATATTATAAATTTACGACATAATAAATAAAGACAATTTTAGAGCGTAGTTCTCGCTTAAAATAGCTGAAAGTAGGTACTCTTGACAGCAATAATTACACGTGTATGCAATTACATCAATCAATAATATCAAAAAGCCATTACAGCCACTTAACTTGGTGTTTCGATAAAAGCTAAAGTTATTATTACGTACAGACCGTGGAATCGTGAAGTGACAAATGCGATAAAGCAATCGTTTGTCTCATCTTCAACTGAAAAGAACATCTGACAGCTTGCAGAAAACCTCAAACCTGCCCGTTTTGTTTCATTATGACTCCATAAAACGTTCTCTTTTAAATTGCAAGCAAACATGCAGACGACTAAAACAGAAATAAATATTGAAGTTGGCAGAGCTGTTGCTAGGCGCGTTCAAGGTCTGCTCGACCCTGGCCCTGCCCCTCTCCCACCCTCCCCCATCGCGCATGTGCAACGCGCAAGCTGCATTCGCTGACGCACACACTCACATCATCGCAACTGGTGCACAATAGCAAGCAGTTACACATAACGTATGTGTGCGTTTTGTTAAATAATAGATATTCTTAGTTTCTAGACTGTAATGAAAACGTTTATGTGAACGCTTGGTTGTGTGTGTAAAGATTTACTGGTAGAAGCATAGATAATACACATATAACTGAGAGGTAGAAGTAGTAAGATGTGGAAATTACCTACCGCGTTACGCAATATCCGTGATATAGGTACATGTGCATATCATAATATCAGTTATTAGGTATCAAACCGGATATACGCAGAAATTTTTTCGTCATTCATGTTATTAACTAAAAATTGGTTAAGAAAATTAATTTAACACTAAAAATATATTCACTTAATTCATCGCAAAAAAATTCGAAATATAATTTCGTTAGTAGTCAAACTTTCAAAATAAAAGTACATTAATTAAAAAGAAGCCGATTAATTGGCTATCGCCACAACCTTCGGCCGAAGCCGAAGCCGAAACCGAAACGTTTAAAGTCCCTAAGAAATTCAGTTCAAGATTGGCTATAGTTAATAATAGGTATAAATAATTTTAAAACTTTTAAATTAAAGGTTTATTATTCACTGTATGATAGGTATAAAAAGATAATTTTAATTATCTCTAGTTGATTTAGAGGATAAAATTGCGTTGCCACGTCCATCGCACCCTGGCTCATTTGTAACAATTTTGGAGCTTGCTAGAAAATGGGGGCGAAATTTTGGCCGAAGCCGAAGGATTCGCTGAAGGTGGCCGTTTTGGCCGAAGATGACCGAAGTGGAAGCTTCGGTCGGACACTAGTGCTAAAGCAGGGAGACGTTCTTCTGTCCTTCTGCTACGAATATACCTAGGTAGTACGATGATTTCTATCGAGTTCACTCTGGACCAAAACTTACATAGGCTTTTTTATTTCAAAACTAAAACTAAAGTGTGGTATTAATAAATAACTAAATTAGTCCTAGTTGTGAAATATTTCTCTGCTCTACCACTAAAATAGTATAAACGGGTGTACACGTAAATATAAAAGCCGGGAAACCCCAAGTTGACGTATGAGGTCATGTGCGGTTTGATATCAATAGAGAATTAGAAAATGTGTACATACCTATACCTATTGATTATGTCTAAATCATAATAGAAATAGTAAGAATTCTATTTATTACTCGATTTTAACTAAGCAAACGAAAATAATATTTCAATGTAGTACTTACTTATTAATTAGTTATAAATTCACTATTTTTATGCATTCATTACAGTCCATCTACTCGTAGAATTCACTGCTAAACAGACCATTCTAATAGTTTACTTCATAGGACATTGCCTGGCAGACAGGTTGGCAACAGCAGATTTTTTAAATTATTTTGTGCTGTTATCATGAAGATGCTGTTGCTCATCCCTGTTTTATTTATCTTTGCTGCCTCTTACGTCACCCACAGGATTATATAGGTTAGGGTATTCTCTTATGCCGTCAGTACAGTGCGACTCGAAAAATTACAGTTGTATGAATAAAATAAATTAATTGTTTCACTTTTATATCCGGTCAGGTTATAATATATTTGACGGATAACTTTAATCTGACGATTGTAAAATATGAAATAAAGTCGAACCAAGTTAAGTAAATGTTATATTCAACGAATACATACATGATAATAAATAAATTGTGAAATTTTTATTTCCCTCGCACCCTCAATACTTCAAGGACAACCCCTATCTATGTTGTTCCATAAAATAACAAACGAGTATTGGTTGCATTCTAAATCGATTTCCGGTGATGATCAGAAGCTGGGGTGAATACCTACATAATAAAAATTTAATATATTGTTACGAGCTTGGGGTTCGAGACAATTAAAAACTGCCGATTGAATTACCAAAATTGACACTTTTATTACAGAACACTAATTACAATTTAAAACCACACTAATAATAAAACACAATTGTACTACTGATCACTTTAGTTCGCAGTTATTTCGCTTAGAAGTATTCGCTTGTATCACCACTTCAACACTGCCTCGGCCGTGGTCTATATTGGCCTTATATAGGATCTCAGATAGTTCCCAGAACCTTCTACTGTAGAAACATCTATTATGTTCGAGTACATATCGGTCCCGAAATTTCTAGAAGGATCTTGACTCTCCTAGTTCTGCTACTCGATACTAGAGGGCGCTAGTGGTAACTAGTGTTGCCATGTACAAGACATTAATAGTGGCGCGCAACAATATTATAGGTACTCTAGCGATCCGCTTTGAAATGTCAAAATAACAGCTTTTTATTAAATGCATATGAAACAAATTTTGAAATTTATCTCTGTCTGTTTGTTCCGGCTAATCTCCAAAACGTCTGCACTTATTTTGACGGGACTTTCAGTGGCATATAGCTTATTTTATAAGGAGTAACTTAGGCTACTTTTATTTTAAAGAAAGAATCAGGGTTCGGCGCAAAATTCCATGCGGGCGAAGTCGCCGGGAGCAGCTAGTAATAAAATAAAAACGCATCATTTATGTCATTAAAGGTACAACAAAAATTATAAAATAATATCATTTATGTATTATTTGATTTTTTTTTAATCGCATCTCGTCCACAATTAATCCGTAACAGTCCACGGCCTGACATGAGCTTCCCGCATTCCCGGATTTGCCTTAATCGTCATGTTCAGCTGTCACGGTAAACTGATGATGGCAGTACCAGACGTCTCGCACCTTTGAAGCGGTTTTTCTTCTGGAAAACTTACGCTTAGCGTAGAATAGTTTTTCTGCCATCTATGAGAAGCGCTGTGTACTTTTAGTAGTTTTTATAGTCGCCTCTTATCTAAGACACCCGCGGGAATAAAAATTGTCATGGAATCACTTACACCGCTACTACAAGGTATATAAGTATTAATGTTTTAAATAATTTACTTCTATATAAACAAAGAAGAAATAACTATATAGAATCAGCTTTTATACGTGGTAGAGCCGTGCTGCAGTCATATTATGGTTGTTGCACGAATGGGTCGGCTCGATCGGGAAAAGACAGAATACTGTTGTTGTATTCGTATGGTGAATGTAGAGAACCATTGAGCTATATGTACTACGTAATAGAGAAGCTATTCCAAACAAAAAGTGTGCGCTACTTTATGTCTTGTCGCGAAGACTTTAATTTAATATAAAATAAGATATTAATATAAAATAAATATAAGAATTTTATATAAAATACTCTTATTTTAATCTAAACAAACATATTTGAAAATAAAATGTATTAATAATTCTCTTATGGAATTCACAAATCTTCATTTACGCAATATTTAGTTTAGTATGGATTGCAGTACGGTTCAGTTGAACATAGTCAATGTTCGGAATGCGAAATCTAGTGATGCAGAGAACCGTAGACCCTTTTTAATGGAAACGAGGTATTTCATCTGAATCTTCAGGGCAATGCATCCGCATTTTGATTCTTAATCAAGGTTAGATGCAATGCCTTTTGGCCAAACGTATGTTTGTCACTCTTATTCTATAAAAACCAGTTTTCATAAAAATCTTAAAAGCTAGAAGTCTAAAGGAAAATAACCTAAACGAAAGTTTATTAAGAAAATGTCTACAAAAATGCGTGACGGTGCAGCAACGCATTGGCAGTAAGCCATTATTTCCTTCACGTGGAACTCTCGTCAACGTAGCCCACGAAAGCGTTTTCTATAATTTATTTGCTTCATCTAATTTTATCAAATGTAATTTGTAAACGGTGACATGTCCTGAAATAAATGCTATGTAATTTTAAAGAAATTTGCAATGTAAATTTTTAGTTTGGGCAGTACGGGTATAAATTATAAATATTGTTCAAGTCAAAATATTTTATTTAAGAAATGCCAATTATAGTCAGATTAGACATGTACAGAGAAAAACTGGTAAGAAATTGTGCGTGAAGACACCACTTTCGTATTTTACGTTATATTTAAAAAAACCGTATTCATCTCATTATTGTTTTTTTCTCCACCAGGAAGCTTATTTTCAGTGCACCAGTGCGATGGCATTGATGCACTTAAAATAAGCTGAGATGTCATCACTTTGTTTCGTGGGTGTCGTAAGAGGCGCCTATGGGAAATGTTATCCGCCAGGCAAGTCTAGGGTTAAGACAAATTCTCCGTGCAACGGCAGAGACATATCTGGAGATAGATTTTTACGGGCTGATGAAAAAGGAGTTATTACAAATAATAGGGAAAGATTAAAGATTTACTTTTCTATTATATAATATTATAAATAAAAGAAATAAATTAAAAAATAGCGCATAATTAATTTATAAGTAGGTAAGTACATAGTAAAGAGAGGACAAGGCTTTTTTAAAAAGGACACTAAATAATTATAGGGTCGTCGATGCACCAAATAAATATAAAGGTCCAAACTACAAAAGATAACGCCTTTAACTGCAAAAAAGGATGGTAACTTTTTTTGACTACCTACCTACCTGAGTTTATACCCTTGCTGTGATTTGTCAGAAAATACATAATGCGGACAATTTCAATATTTAAAACACATTTAAATACTACCGTAGCTCTTCATAGGGTATATTTTGCACGTGTTCGTTTGTTTAAACCTACTGTGACTAATGCGAGCGTTGTAAATAAACACAAGCGCGGTCGGCCATGTTGTCCGCCATGTTGGTGACGAAACGTCAATGTGACGCGTCCGTCAGCTGATACTGTTTATAGTGGTACGTGGAGCGCGACGCTTAGAAACGTGTTTTTATGTTTTCCTCTGAAATCTGTATTCATGCAAACAATATGATGAAACAATATGGAATTAAAGTCCAATTGGTAAATACATTTCCTTCAACAATGCTCCATTCGATTTACATGTTACTCCGGCTCCGGTCCGATTTTAGATCAATAATGAACAATAAAATAGGTTTTATACACAATCACGGGATTGTTGTTGTATTTTAGATTATGGTGTAAACGTTTCCACCAATAATACGGGTAATTTATTGGTTAATTGCCCAACGCTGGTTCTCAATTCAAATATTTTCGGCGTAAGCGCAAAAGTAACTCTTAAAGAGCTTATGAGGATTCCGATTACCAGACTAGTGCCTTTACAATTTAGGTTCGACATGTTTTGCATGCCTTAGAGTAAGGTACACCAAGTGTAGATGAGTCAGCACATGAAGTAGGTACGTTTACCCGAAAGTATTTTAAATATTAATAATAACATCTACATATATAAAGGAAATAAATTATTAATAATAACATTTTATTTCCATAAAAACTATCAAGAAACAAAAAAAAAATTAACGTAAGTTGATCCATTGGTTATTCAAACAATCAACCGTTGAACAAAAAAGCAATATACAATACTGTTAATTAAAAATCAAAATTACCTCAAATATTATTTAAGGTGACTTAGTTAAAGAATGACGTACGTGATAAATACAATACAAAATAGATATGTAAGTATAGATATTAAAGGTAGAAAAATAGATGGAATAAGCAATGTGTTGTATACGGTAATTGTTATTCAGGCTTCGCGGTCGCGGGTTCAAGGCGAAGCGGTAATGTGGGAGGCCCTGGGCTTAGCTTATGTGGTTTCTAATTTTCCTCTGTTGAACAATCAGTATAAGTTTCATTACAATATTCGCGTCTACAATGGTTCACGTCGTTGTAAGATAGTGCTATCATATTATAAAATTTTAAAGATCCCATTACACTAATATATATTATTATTATTCGTAATGCATATTTACATGTTATATAAATCATGTAAAAATTCCACACCAGCCATCGGAAATTCGAGTTGCGATGCCCAAAAGTTTACAAAGTAAAATAGATGATATTGTCGCTTGTTGGCATATTGCCTATGACTCTTATGCTCATAACTTTGTTTTTAACAAAAAGTGATTTTAAATGTAAATTAAATCTTTAGTATTGTAAAAATTAACAGTTAAAATGTAACTTTTGCAATGTTCAATATTTGGATCACATTTTTAACAAATAAGTATTTCGATAATTACCTAATAACGCCTAAACAACTTTTTTTTTACATTTGACAATGATATGGCAATTAGACAACAACATTTAAAAAAGCCGTGTTCTCATTTTATTCAAAAAGTTTAACAAGTGTTACAACTTTTTCCTGTATTCTTTAAACGTGATGTGAAGTTGCATTTGCAATACTATTGCTTAGTAACCAACGTTTTATCAATTTTCGCATTTCAAAAGAATCATTAAGCACGTATGCAAAATACTAAAAAAGAAATATGTAGGTATGTCGGTAGCTAATAAATTATATTACCTACCTATGATTACATATTAGATTAATCTATGGTAGAGGCCTTGCCGTGTAGTCGCGGCGTAAAAATATCTACTACCTCACTTACTCTCTTGGGTGACGACAGAGGGAACCTGAAAGAGATGGACAGCAGTCCTCCTAACTGACCGCTTGCCAAGCGTGGTAACTATGGCGACATCCCCCCTATGCAATCTATAGGGAAAGTCCATATTCAGCAGTGTAATTTCGGTGGGCTGTAATGGAATGGAGCACATTTTATCAAAATTTCAAAACATTGTTAAAACTAAGAATAGTTAATTCTCATACGTTTTATCCATTGAGTTATGCCGTATTATTTTTGAATTGATTCCGGTATTTTCTTACTCTCGGATTTACTTTTCTACATTAGATAAGTTTATATCAACAATAAAATCAGTTTTTGTCTTATAACATAAGGGTGACAAACGTGAAACGAGCACACAGTCCACCTGATGGTAAGTGGATGCTGTGGCCCAAAGACATTTATCAGACAATTAAGAATCAAAATGCAGATGCGTTGTCACCCCTGAGACAAAGAAAATATACACTACGCGAACCTGAGGACTGAGATGTAATGCCTCGTTTCCAGTAAAAAGGTTCTCCGGTTCTCTACATTCAGCATACGAAACACAGCAGCATTAAACTGCTATTTTGGACGTGGACGTACCCTGGATGATCCGACCCATTCGTGCCACAACAATAATATAGATGCAGCGTGGCTCTACCACGTAATTTTGAAGATTTTGAAAATAATGAAACTGATATATAAGATTTCAATTTTTTAAATTTAATGCAGTAACGCCTGCTCAAGGCTATCTACATTCTACACAAGGTTTTTTATTCAAAAATTTTAGACGAAACTTGATCACCTGGATATATCAAATCTGTTCTATATGTTTTACTGTGGTTTTTACTAATAGTTTTCTTCCTCGTACAACTTCTCTGTGAAATTGTTTACCACCGGCGATTTTTCTGGACTGATACGACTTAAGGACCTTCAAGAAAAGAGCTTACACCTTTCTAAAAGACCGGCAACGCATCTGCAATTCCCCTGGTGTTGCGGTTGTTCATGGGCGGCGGTAGTCACTTACCATCAAGTGAGCCGCATGCTCGTTTGCCCCTTCTATAAAAAAAAATATAACATGCCTGAGACTCCCTCAAAACGATTATAAAATGTCTTAAATCTTTCATACCAATATCTTATATAACTTGATTTCTTGATACATTAATTTGATTTTTCGGATTAGCTATCCAATAAACATATTAATGTCTTTTTCTTCATTACCCCTATAAGTTAGCAAATAGCCTATAAAATAAGTACATGTAATTATCAGTGATAAGTGCTGCTACTGTCACTGCTAAAATCGTTTCTTTTTTTTTTGGTAATCTTTTAGTGTTTTAGTGAAAGACATCACACAAGAAATTTGAAAGTTTTTAATTTCTAGTAAATAATTAAGAACTGAAATGGCAAATTATAAAAAAAACCATCGATATGTACATTGCGGCGTTTTTGATGATTACTGGTTAGTTATAAGCCCACCTAACTAGCGACAAGTACGACGCCTGGGATCACCAGATTGCCTTGAACTCATGAGTTCGACATTTTTTGCGGAGCCACAACAGGATACGCTTGAATCGCGGGCCCTAGTTTTGTTGATGCCCTTGATTCGCAGTTGAAATTTTGAGGAGCCATGTTGGAATTTAAATCTTAATTTTTATTGGAATTTCACAGATAGAAAGTTCTAGTTCGTTTAGTCCTAATATAAAAGTTCTATTCTGTACTTAACAATATGTAAGCAATGTCTTCTGCTTTCTTGTATTAACATATTTCGCTTGAAAATAAACACTAATTGGGAATTGCCAAAATTCGAAGCGAGAGATTAATGGTCATTGAATAAATTTTAGATATATTCAAGATAATAATAATTATTAAAAGGATATTTTTACAAAATTCACATTTTTTTGGTATATTTTTAACTTAGAAAACAATACAGTGAATTTGCGTAGAGAAAAAGTCTGTAGAGTGTTACCAATTAGAATTTTTCATATATACCGTTCTCTCCACTTTTAAATGGAGATTCTGGACCTATGAGATTTGTTCCTTAGCTTATTTCTTCTTATATTAGACCATAGGTCAGTCTTCATGTATGTCCTAAAAGTAGAATAATACGCGCATTTATTGTACTTACGTACTTAAAATCAACATTGTTTTCAGGCCTTAGTCTTAGCGTATCAGTTTTTTCATATTTGTAAAAATATGTAATCGAAATTTATTTACACATATTATAATATATTTAAAATCCAGATATATTTTATTTTTATTTTTGAAGAATAGTACAATCCCATATCTGAGAATGAGCCATAATATCCATAAATGAGTTTAATTAATTCGAAGTTTTGATTATACAATGTTATGAATTTCAAAATGGTGGACTAATTGTTCATTTAAATTATTTGTTAGTCACAATGCCTAGCTTCCTACAATGTAGTGTAAATTTTAAATAAGTAAAGTTACATCAGTTAAGTGGAATTTTTTTGAATTTTTATGTATGTGATAGGCAGAAAACTTCGACTACGATGGCCGATGGCAATTACCTATTCACGTACACATAGATAATAACTATAGGTTTCGTTTAGTCCTCAATGTAGTATGCCTGTTCACTGTCTACGTCTAAACAAATATGGCTGCTGAAGTAATATGTCATTGAAGGTTTTCCTCAAACTGCTTCACGTCTATGATATAATGCAATAACGTGTTACATTACAAACGTTTAACATGCATAATATTAATTTTCACGACGTTTTTCTGATGCAATATATGAAAACAAAATATTGCAGGTACTTACCGGACTGGAATGTTCAGGGAAATATTACATAATCTTGGAGTACATCTGATCTGACGTTCTTTCGTCATCGAAATTCACATTGTTGTTGCAGATAAAATATCACGGCTGATTTGCCTGAAACTGACTACACCCTCATATGTAATATTATGTGGTCTTATTATAGATCGCGTCAGCTCTGGAAAATGGAGCAACTTGCGGAAGTTTTTGGCCATTTGAGCGCGTTGGACGTATTCGTGAGCGGTGTGTAGCACGGCCGTCGACAAGGCACTGACGACCGAGCCACGGCTGGCGGCCGCTCCTGCATTGCGGCGCGCAGTCGCACTCGCGCGCGCATGACCTTGGCATTGAACTTGGCAATGGGCCGGCGCGGTGCGATCCCCGCCCGGCGGGGGACGCAATGCACCGGCAGCTGCACCGCCCCTCCCCCACGTCCTTCCGCCTCGCCTCAGTTATACTTGCCGCCCTGCTCAACCCTTTTCGTTCTTCATTGCCTTAATGCATATTCTGAGTAATTTTGGTATGACTAGTCGTAATCGTAATCCAGAGATATGTTCCAGATTTGTGTGCGTGTATCTAATCTCGAGCAATTTTTAATGCTTCGAGGTCGATCTAATCGCGTGACTGAACACTAACGTAAGATGCTTCGTTGTCTTGTCGACCAGTAAATTTAGCTTTAGTTGCCGTTTATGAATGATGCTTGTTAAAACTCTAAACAATCCTGTAAATTCATGATGATAAAACATCAGAAGGCAGTAAGTAGTTAACAAAATAGCATCCTTGAGGATGAGGGTTGAAATATCTTGAAAAAATCCTTATACCTAAGTGTTTTGTATCTATCACTATACTAAATTCGCAGGCTTATTGCCAATTCTAACATCATTGACTTATTACAAAATGAGTTACGTGGGTGTTGTAGCACCTTCCTACATGTGTTGGGGAGGAGTCGATGGTGGGTGGATGGAGGCTAAGTTTGGAGATCGATGTGGAATCGCGCATGCGTTTCCTCGTAGTAACTTCGCTCTCTGCTAGCTAGCCCGGCTGTTATTGAGCGCGAATTATGAACAAACGCATCGTTGCAAACTGCATTTATTTTATTTAACATTTAATTTTACGAACAAGTTTTTGTTTTGCAAATATTGAAAGTATAAAATAAAATAATAAAATATGTTCATGCGTTAACGAATGTCATTATTATTAGTGTTAATTTGTATTTTTTTTTGTTTGCTGTTACCATTTAGATAAAAGCTAATAGAGATGCCCTTTTCTTCTATGTAAATATAGGTTATTTTTAAGAATCGTGTTAAATGTCAGATGTTTTAAAAATATTCAACATATTATACATATTACTATTTGTTTATGCTCATTTTGTAAAACTATGTAAAATTTTACTAAAATATTTTAATAACGGATGCTTGTTCGTTTTAAATAAAAATAACATTTTTAATGAAAAGTAATTCGAATTCACAAAAAGAAGCCCCACAATGAATGCGGGTATAAAACTACTATTACATGTTTTACAGTCTTCAGTAGATCGCAGACTGTCGGTGTTTTCTGTCATCTCTCATAGGCATTTGACTATGTAGATCATAAAATTTTGAATAATAAACACAAATATTTGTGGGTTTGAAATGCTGCACTTGATCTATTTTCATCATATCTTTTAAACCGAGAGCTTAATGGTTGCAATTAATTATGTGATGTCATCAGGACGCATGATAAAATTAGGCGTCCCTTAGAGATTCACATTTTTCTTATTATTGTTCTTAGTATAGGTACATAAATACTCCTTCTAATTTTCTAATTTGTCTTGTATTTATATTTTACAATTTGTTTTTTGGTACAAAAATGTCTGAGATAGGTCAGATTGCTGATGATACCTAATTATTATAGAAATTAAAAAGAAACGACTTAGCACTGGAACACAACTGCCATATATTGGATTTGTATCCAAATGGTTTACAGCAAACATTATGCACTATCTTATTCATCGCAGAATGTTGTAATTATTTTCAAAATAGTAATTTAGATTTCAAAAGTTTGAGCGTGTTTATCGGAATTCTGCAAGCTTCACTTTTAGAAGAATTATAAAGCTAACTGATGAAGCGATATAATATAAATTAGTCTACTTTGCTTTCTTCCACTGTAGCATCTCTTATGATATATTAATGTGGGATCTATCTACAGCTAAATTGGAAACAGCATTTATTTTGCAATCACAAGCGATCGGGGCTATGCCACTTCTTTCGCGACCAAGGATTCAAGGAGGATAATATTTTGAAACTTCCGTCGGTATTATCTTTATATATAAAACTTACGTGTCATGTTGTTTGTCCGCGATGGACTCCCAAACTACTGAACTGATTTCAATGAAAGTTTGCACACTGTGTGCATTTTGGTCCAACTTGAGAGATAGGATAGTTTTTATCCCGATAAGTAACCCTCAATTTTTTTTGTGAATTTAAGGATTTTTATAGGAAGGGTCGTTGCAAAGGGCAGAACAACGTCTGCCTGGCGAGCTAGTTATATTATAAATTCTCGAAAACATTATGTAAGTAGGAAAAAGAATAATTATAATATTTTTAATGAAATATAAACGGTTATCAGCAGAACAGGTTGCGGTGATACGTTAGAGATTCCCAAATTAAAATCTTTAAAATATAGTGCAACAATTAGACAAATTTTAAAAAGGTTGTAAACAAGTCTAAAGAAGCCAGTATGCTTTAGTAGGCTTTTAGTAAGAAGACAGGTGGAAACTGAAACGAAAGATGGGCTGCAGCATCTTCCTGATAACAACTCAAAACAATTAACAGTAACAAGTGCCTTGGTAGTTCAGGGGCTTAGCGCTCGCTGTAAATTTCACAGTTCACGAGCAATCTAGGTTGGATATCCGCTAGTAGCAATGAAATTGTTAATTGCAATTTTAAGTACTGATTTACCACGTGCTCGGCGGTGAAGGTAAACATCGTGAGGAAACCTGCATGCCTGAGAAATAAGAAAAAAATATTTCCAAGACATGTGAAGTTCGCCAACACGCATTGGGGCAGCGCGGCATACATTTCCTTGCCCTAAAAACTCTCGCGTTGTGGCAATTCTATTTGTTCACGTAAATAAGGTTACGTTTTTACTTCAGTGTTTACTGCGTTCCATGAATGTTTTATAAAGTAAAGTTGTTATTAAAACCTTTACAAGCTGTTCACCGTTGAACATGGGCCTCCCCCACAGATTGGAAGGATGGAAGGATATTTTCCATAGTTGCCACGCTTGGCAGGTGGGTCGGCAAACACAGTTTTTATTTTAATATATAGTTGTTATTAGGAAGACATGTAGAATGTTCTGATGGTAATACGCTTCAAGATGTAGCCAATCTTTTCTGTGACTCCTCTGACATACTCGAATACTCTGACATATGGCAGTACAGCAGGCATACGCTCGACTATTTAACTTTGTAACGTAGGCACGGGACCCAAAGTTTGTATTCGTGCAAGCCTTGCTAGCTAGCTGTGAAGTATGACGGTGAGATTCACGGTTCAAATTTCGGTTGGTATGGGTATTTTTTTCTATAGTTCTGGTTTCCTAGGATTGCGGTGCCGCTATATGACGGCCGTAATAAAGCGGTGAATGACACTCACGTTGTCTATGTAAACAAGACAGGGTGGTTTCCTTGAGAGCGGTATTTGACGCCGTAATGTCAAAAAGTTTAGTCGCTATTTGCGTAACGGCCGTTTTGACGGTGCCGGATAGTTCAAGAACGTTTTTTTTATACCGGTGACCGGAGACTATATACAACTTCAACTGGAGCAGCGAGGATTACGAAAAATTAATAGATTTTGTGCGTAATTATGAAACTATTTACAATATGAAAAGAAAGGAATACAATTTAGGCAAACCCAGTTAAAACAGAATTTGTGGCGTAAAAGGAAATTTTAAATAAAACATGTATATACAATTAACTGAAGGTATAGATAATTACATCTAGTATAAATTATAAGTAGTATAAAGTATAGATAAATACATTTGGTAGTGTAAATTATAACATCTTATTACGTAGATTGTAGAATGTTGTCTCACAATTGTGTTACCACTCAATAGCGCCGGTCAAATGAGGTTCATTTGTACTCGGATACTATGATTTTCCAGAGGTACCTATTAAATTTTCAGTAGGTAATGAAGATTGCCGTTTAGTGGCGGTCAAGAATATCCACTACCCCATATCCTCCCGTGGGTGTCGTAAAATACGACAAAGGGAAACAGGCAGGAGATGGGCAGCAGCATCTTCCTGGTAATGGCCAAAATTACAATAAAAAAACTGCGGTTGCCAACCCGCTCGCCAAGCGTGGCAACTATGGCAAATACCCCCCAATGATTAAAGCAACAAACAGACGGCCCCAGTCCCCGGCGGCCCCGCTATTCCTGGCTACGGTGGCGACCATGGTAACGGCAGGGCAGGGGGTGCTAAGAATCTCCGGTGGAGGTTCAGTTGCCACCTTAGACGACTCGACCTGGCAACGTACAACGCACGCACCCTGAGGACTGACGAGAAGATCGTGGAGCTGGAAGAAGAGATAGACAAGTTGCGCTGGCATATTATAGGATTATCCGAAGTCCGAAGAGAGGGGGAGGACACGGTAATCCTCGAATCCGGCAACTTGGTCTATCACCGGGAGGGCAACCATCTGTCCCAAGGAGGTGTCGAATTTATCGCCCACAAGTCTCTCGTTAACAACGTTGTAAAGATCGAGAGTGTGTCGACGAGGGTTGCGTACCTTATACTCAGAATCACCAAACGGTATTCGCTGAAGGTCATACAGGTTTACGCCATTACCTCGGCACACCCCGATGAGGAGGTGGAGGAAATGTATGAGGATATCTCTAGAGCAATGCATTCCTCCAAAACCCAATATACGGTGTTAATGGGAGACTTCAATGCAAAACTAGGCACAAGAGAGAACGGTGAGCTGAAAGTAGGGAAATTTGGAATAGGGCAACGGAACCCAAGGGGCCAGCAGCTGGCCGAATTCATGGAGAAAGAGGGACTCTTTATGATGAACTCTTTCTTCCAGAAGCGGCCGAACAGGAAGTGGACCTGGTCGAGCCCCGAAGGTTCGACAAAAAATGAGATTGACTTCATTATGACGACCAGACGACAACTGTTCAGTGATGTCTCCGTGATCGCGAGGGTGAAAACTGGTAGCGATCACCGAATGGTTAGAGGCACACTGAACCTAAACGTTAAGTTGGAGGGGTCTCGTCTAATGAAGTCAACGCTCCG